CTTTTTATGCCTTACTATACTATGACGTTTTTATGACTTTTTATGCCATACTATACTATGACGTTTTTATAACTTTTTATGCCTTACGATACTATGACATTTTTATAACTTTTTATGCCTTACTATACTATGACGTTTTTATGACTTTTTATGCCTTATGATACTATGATGTTTTTATGACTTTTTATGCCTTACTATACTATGACGTTTTTATGACTTTTTATGCCATACTATACTATGATGTTTTTATGCCTTTTTATGCCTTACTATGCCTTTTTATGCCTTACTATACTATGACATTTTCATGACTTTTTATGACTTTTTTATGACTTTTTATGCCTTATGATACTATGATGTTTTTATGACTTTTTATGCCATACTATACTATGATGTTTTTATGCCTTACTATACTATGACGTTTTTATGATTTTTTATGCCTTACTATACTATGACGTTTTTATGACTTTTTATGCCATACAATACTATGACGTTTTTATAACTTTTTATGCCTTACGATACTATGACGTTTTTATAAATTTTTATGCCTTACTATACTATGACGTTTTTATGACTTTTTATGCCTTATGATACTATGATGTTTTTATGACTTTTTATGCCTTACTATACTGTGACATTTTTATAACTTTTTATGCCTTACTATACTCTGACGTTTTCATGACTTTTTATGCCTTACTATACTATGACGTTTTTATAACCTTTTATGCTTTACTATACTATGATGTTTTTATGACTTTTTATGCCACCATTTTTATGCCCCTCAAATGCAACATGAGTTACCATCTCTGTGACACTGTGAAGTAACACAACTGACGACCCTGAATGCATTAGTGCAGCTAAATTACAGGCCAATGAACTATCAAAAAATACTTTAATGTCGTCAACATACAGGGAACATACTGAAACTTTTCACCACAGTGATTACAAACCACATCCACAACATAAAATCCAGATATAAGATTTTAGACACAACCTGGTGCTTCTTTCAAGTGCTGTCAAAAATATACGAATTAGGTAGAAAAAGGACACAAATCAAAAATCAGTTCAGTAGACGAATTGACAACACAGTATTTCTGTTGCAGGAGCACCTGAAAGCAACATAAATGTCTTTACTTACAGCTCTCTCAAAGGGGAACGTGGAGTTTCTGAGCAGCCCCTGAACATCACACAACACTGACTTCTGCTGTCATGTTAGGTTCTTAAACCAGCATACGACTTTTTATATGTTAACGCTTTTCACTATAAATCCTGTTCAACTCCCTCTGATTCTTTTACTCGTATTACTCTTAAGATTCATTTAAGAGTTTTCACTTCTGAAACTGTTTCAGCTCATTTTGTCTGAGCAGCTGTTTTTTTTACATTAACATTTATTTAATTTAACTTTTAGTCCATGTTCCCTGCATGCTGCCTGGCACAGTTAGCTTAAAGCTAATGTAGCGTGAGTGATGATCCATGAGCGGAAAACATGTCTTAAGGACAGTTTGTTGACTGAATAACAGCTGAGGCAGAGTGTCTTAATGTCAGTCCTGGACCTCAGGAGGTTTTCCATCGCGCACCAGGAGACCCGGTTAGAAAGGAGCAGAAGCCAGGAGCATGCTGGGAAATGTTTATACAGAAAACACCATACATATATTTAAAAATAAAACATTAAACATGTTTCAAATACAGATAAATAATAAAAACAAGGTTCCATATACAAATAAATCAACAGCTGTTTACAGAGTGAACGCTGCTGTCAGATGAAAACCTCATATCTCCTTTTCTTAATACACATTGAACTGACTGTAAACAAGTTATGAGGTTGTTACATGTCAGCATACACACACACTCTCATACACACAGTCTGGCAGTGTGTTGGTCTGGTCTGGTCTGGTTGGTCCAGTTTGGTAAGGTTTGGTCCAGTTTGGTCTGGTCTTATTTGATCTGGTTCAGGGTACGTTTCCACGGATATGACCAGTCTCTCAGTGGGTCTCAGTCCAGGAAGTAACCCAGTGTTTCTGTGACTTCCTGTTCCTGGACGAGGGAAAGTGGTCCTGGATCAGGAAACCGTCAGAGTCCGTGTAGTGCTGCTGCTTGTGTTTACCCATAATCCTCCCCTGGTGGAGCGCTGCAGTCCGCCATGCAGTCCGACGCTCAAAGAAACCACACTACAGAAAACACAGGGATCACTGTCAGAAACCTTGTATGTCCACAGAGAAGATTGAAGCAGACAGAGGAACAGGTAGACAAGTGAACAGGTAGACAGGTGAACGGGTAAATAGGTGAACAGGTGAGCAGGTATACAAAACGTTGTCAGCTGATTTCGGCCAGTAACATTACAGGTCAGTAAAGTGAGAGGAGTTTATCATCTCCAGGTGTTTGGAAAGTTTTACCAAGAAACTGAACAATTGCAGGTCCACCAGAGATCTGGTTTAAAGAGAAAGGGGGTCACAGGAAAAACTGGTCTGATGTAGACTCAAGAACCTGAAGAGTCCCGTAGTCTCAGAATGACAGGAAAACACTGATTCATACAGATCAATAGAGTTATTGACAAGGTGATCAATCAGAACAGCCGGACAAGAAGAAAAGGAAGTAAAGAGGTGAGTCAAAAAAAGCTCCAGAAAAAACAGCCATCAGGTTCACCTGTAGACAACCAGTCAGTCAGTAACAGTCAGAAACAGTCAGTAACAGTCCGTCAGTGACAGTACATCAGTAACAGTCAGTTACAGTCAATAACAGTCAGTTACAGTCAGTCAGTAACAGTCAGAAACAGTCAGTCAGTAACAGTCAGTAACAGTCAGTCAGTAAAAGTCAGTAACAGTCCGTCAGTAACAGTCAGTAACAGTAAATAAAAGTCAGAAACAGTCAGTAACAGTCCGTCAGTAACAGTCAGTAACAGTAAATAAAAGTCAGAAACAGTCAGTAACAGTCCGTCAGTAACAGTCAGTAACAGTCAATAACAGTCAGTTACAGTCAGTTACAGTCAGTTGCAGTCAGAAAACCGTCCATCAGTAACAGTCAGTCAGTAAAAGTCAGTTACAGTCCGTCAGTAACAGTCAATAACAGTCAGTCAGCAATAGTCTGTCAGTGAAAGTCAGTTACAGTCAGTCAGTAAAAGTCAGAAACAGCCAGTCGTAACAGTCAGTAAGAGTCAGTCAGTAAGCGTCAATAACAGTCAGTAAGAGTCGGTCAGTAACAGTGAAGAAACAGTCAGTCAGCAGCTGGTCCTTACAGCAGGGCTCTCTGGCAGCACTGTGCCGAGACTCAGAGCTCCTCGGTCAGCCTCTCGTTTTCCGACGGCTGGCTCTTCATGTGGGCCTTCTGGGTCTTTGCCTCGTACAGCTCTCTGGTGTTGGCTCGCCTGAAGAACCCACACTGAACAGCAGGGGGCGACACAACAGCACTTTACCAACCAGGAGGTGATGATGATGAAACAAAGTCATGATTTTATGGTGATGAGAAATAATCACACATCTGTGGACTGTGGACTGTGGACTAAGGTGGATCCTACAGGACCAGAGGTATTGAGTTGGTCTTGTGTCACAGCTCAGCTCAGCTTACCTTCCAGAGCAGCAGGCAGATGAGAGCCAGCAGTGAGACTCCAGCCAGGAAAGACACCACAATGATCCACAAGGGGGCACTGGAGTCCAGCTGCTGGCCCAGGTCTGGATAAATGTGGACCTCAATCTGCAGAGACAGGTGTGATTTAGGAGGAAACACAGGAAATGACTGAAATCATCATGATTGATGATTGAGCGGTCTGTTACCTCTGTGCTGTGAGGCTCCATGTTGAGGGTGGGTTTGTTGGTCTGCAGCTTCAGGGTCGCCTGGCCCCTCACCACCACAGTCCTCGCATCGCTGTAGTCCTGAAGACACACAGTCACACTCAGGTCTCTGAGACTGCCTCACACTTACAGCTGGTTTCACTCAGACTCTGGACTGCTGCTCTCAGTCTGACTTTCTATCAACCCAGAGCTTGAAGGCTTAAAGTCTGGGTGAGGACCCTCTGCATGCTCCCCAAGGATATCCTCATATATATCTATATATATATTTACATATGTGTATAAATATATAGATAGATATAGATAGATATGTGTGTAGAGACTGATAGATAATCAGTCATTCAGTCTGGATCCAACAGTTGGTAAAACAACAGGCAGACAGAGAGACACCTGACTGAGTCAGCTGGACTGGATGTGGAGGGGAATCTGGAGACATCTAGAGACATCTGACCACTAGAGGGCAGAAGAACTCCAGCCTGACTGACACTCCTGATGCAGAATCATTATGAATATAGATCAAAAGTTTAAAAACAGGAGCAAAAAAACACACACATATATATATATATATATATGTGTGTGTGTGTGTGTGTGTGTGTGTGTGTGTGTGAGTGAGTGTGTAATACATATTTCCCCTGCTTTTAATTTTTGATCTATATTCTTATTCTATATTCTGTATACAATCTTCAAACACATCTGTAGTTGTGTGACAAACAGCTGTTTATCTCCACATCCATCTGTTCATCGACATGATGATCCATGTGTGACCTGATGAGTCTCAGTGTTTCCTCTCTGTTAGCTCTCTGCTGCTCAGAGAAGCTTTTATTCTGAAAACACTGAGACTGACCCAGACAGGAAATGAGCCAACGACCCAAAGCTGAACTGTGGATTCAATGACTTAAAGTTGAATAAATGTAAAGAAAGTGGCTGCACCTCGATCATGGTGGAATTCCACAGTCTGGCTTTGAGCGTCAGAGTTGCAGAGTTGTTCATGTTGATCAGTGGACAGACGAACGTCACACACTCAGCCCCACCTAAGCAGTCCTGTCACAACACATTTAAAACACCTTCAGACTTTATTTCCATTAGTACCTCAGCTCCGAAGCCTGAGCTCCAGTCTGAACAGATCCAAACTGTTCAATAACAACATCCACATGATTTTTACTCTGCAGCGCCCCCATGTGTTCAACAAATACTTGTTTGTACCAGAGTATAGGACTTCTTCTTCTGCCCCTGCAGGTGGAGGACAGGGAGACTGTTTTCACTCTGCTTCTCCTTCTTCTCCGTCAGCTCCTCCTCCTCAAGACTCCTCCTCCCCCTCTTCTTCTCGTCCTTTGACAGCTGAGGAAACAGAAACAAAAACTTACTAGTGATAGTTGGAAAGGTCGCAGAGGGTAAATTTTATTTTGAAAGGAGTCTGTGTTAGGCTGCTGTTGTCATGGTTACCTCAAGGTTGAGAGTATTGACGATATTGCCTGGTGGATTACAGCCAGGGTCTGAGGTGCCGCTCACTTGGATCTCTGTGAGGTACAGCAGCCACTTTCCATTGGACACCACCCTCGGCCAATCAAACTTCACCTCAAGGTTGCCTAGGCTACCCAGCGGCTTCCCACTGATGTGCACCTGTCAGAGAAGGTCGTGGGTTACACCTGATTTGTTTCCGCAGCCACAAGAGATGAGACTGATTTCAGCCAAACCTGAAAGGTGAAGAGTAGCAGACTGCCGACGTCCTCCGTCTTCTTCATGGCCGACTCTCCGATCACATGGCCACTGAAGGAGGTGGGGCCTGAAGGACTGATTCTGTCAGGACACAATTAACAATTCAGGTCATTAGGTCAAAGGTCAGAGGTCAGTATTAAACCTCTGAGGTGAATGATACTGCTGAACGTACAGAGTGAGGGACGTCTGCAGCGAATACTCCACCAACATGGAGACAGAGACCGGAGACAGATCTGACTGTTCGCTGAGACTAAAGACACACAGAGACACCAGTCAACATCTGTCCAATAAAACACATCTAGAGTGTGTGTGTGTGTGTGTTGGGGGGGGTTAGTGTGTGACCTACGTGGACAGCTGCAGGAGAGACTCAATCTCCCTGGTGTCCAAACTGATGTCTGACGGCTGAAATATGATCAACATCTGGACCTGGAAGACAGGAAGGTCCACATTCTCAGCAGAGGCAGCAGTACTACAGTAGAACTACAGTAGTACTACTGCAGTACAGACAGTAGTATAGACAGCAGTACTAGCAGTACTCCAGTGTCAGTAGCAGTAACAGACGATAGAGAACGTACCTTCTGGTTGCTTTTGAACGGGTTCCCCAGCTCACACAGAACAACAGTGTTCTCAATAGAACACTCCACTGTTGCTGTGGCCTCCCCCTGGAACACAAACAACCAGGTCCTTTAAGGTCAGTCTCAAATCATCCTGTCAGGTCCTTCAGGTAAAACCGTTCTTAATGTATAAATATCCGCTCATACGCAGACGACACTCTGCTCTCCATCTCCACTGGCTCCTTTCACACCTGCTAAAAGCTGGAGGACAAAAAGATTTCATCTACACTACCTTCGTTCGAACTCCAGAATATATGAGCGATGGCGGGATGCTAATATTCAAAATGGCGTTGTGAGCATCCTCTGCTGGTCGGCCCAGTGACGGCGTGTTGCTGACGTTGACCTCCAGAAACAGTCTGCTAACGCTGGTGTTGTAGTGTAACACTTGACTTCCCTTCTGCCTGAAAACACAGTCACACACACACATCAGCTCAGTGAGCTAAGACATGCTACATTGGTCAGATCAGGTCATGTTACAGGTCATGTGAGCTGTCAATCACCTGATCAGGAGTGACTGTAACTGTCAGAGATGTTTTAATTCTTTTAACAGTCAGTCCAGTCCTTTTGGATGAAGACCAAAGTCAAGACTCAAACCAAGTCCCAAGTTATTTCTCACTTTATTCGAGGTCAAGTCTGAGTGAAGACCCAGCTTCAAGTTCCCAGGCTGAAGGAAAGACTCAAGTCAAGTACTGAAGTCTTTCAGGTGAATCATGAGTCCAAAGAGAAGTCCTGGGTCCTTAAGGGCAAGTCTGAGTCTCAAGTCCTTTAGAGTGAGTTCAAGTCAAGTTTCAAGCCAAAGGATTTGACTGAAGTCTCACACCTACACTTTCAGAACAGACTAGTAAACGCTGCAGGAGACTCAGGAAGTTTAGACTGAGCAGCTCAATCAATCAATCAATCAATCAATCAATCAATCAATCAATCAATCAATCAATCAATCAATCAATCAATCAAACAAATAAACTGGAGCCAGTTTGTCACAAACATCATGTAGTGAAATCACCAGAATGAGAACCCTCAAGTTCTCTTAACGTGGAGGAAGGGTCCACTTACATGGTGAAGGGTTTCTGGTCTTCATCTGTGAACTGAGCCGCCATCTGCAGGTTACTATGGCAACGGTTATCAGAACCACAGGCCTTCTGGATATGGATCTGACAGATTAAGAAATTCAGCATCAGTGAGGGAACATTCAAACAGTGAGGTAGTTTTACATGTGGTTCTGATGTAGGTTCTGATCTGTTTGAAGACCTGGTTATGACCCGGATTGTGTTCTGTTGTAATGATTGCTTATGACTTTAGCTGTGCCAGGTTCTGACCTTTGCTCTGGGCTTTTGATTGGTTAGGAAATGGGTTCCAATGAGTTCTGACCTTGATTTCAATGGGTGCTGTGCTGGGTCTGACCTCATATCTGACTTTGATTCGGGTCGGTGATTCTGGTTCTCATTTGGGAACTGGGCTTGGTTCTGATTCTGGTTCTGTTTGGTTCCGACTTGGGTTCTGTTTGGTTCTGACCTGGGTTCTGAAGGGTCGGGGTGTCTGGCTCAGCACAGGGAGGCGTTTCAGGTCCTGCATAGAACCTCTTTTCTTCGGCAGCTTCTCGTACAGAGAGACATTCAGGGAGAAAACCAGAGGTTCCACTTGGTCTCGGATCGGACTCTGAGGAATAAACACACAGAAGAGAACCTCAGCAACTCAGAGAACATTGGGCCAACAGTAACGTCAACCTGTGGACAAGTCTCAGGTCTCTGCAGGTCTCTGCAGGTCTCAGGTCTCTGCAGGTCTCAGGTCTTTGCAGGTCTCAGGTCTTTGCAGGTCTCAGGTCTCTGCAGGTCTCTGCAGGTCTCAGGTCTCTGCAGGTCTCAGGTCTCTGCAGGTCTCAGCAGGTCTCAGGTCTCTGCAGGTCTCAGGTCTCTGCAGGTCTCAGGTCTCTGCAGATCTCCTGAGAGGAAATCCAGCTGAAAACGAGCAGCAGGAATGTGAACCAGTCTTTACAGTTATGGAACTAACTGGAACAGTGCGGAACATCAGGCCTGATGTGACTGTCTGAACGTGTCAGCATCACATGACTCACTGAGTCATCACAGATCTGACATCACAACAGGAAGAGAGAAACTGTCAAACACAGCACTCTGATAAGAACGGCACGCAGACGTGACAGGACGAGTCCGAAACGTCCTAATCCTGGTCCTGCATGTGGAACGTCTGACTCAACGCCCAGCATCGCTCTCTCAAGGAGCCGTCTGAAAAAACCTCGTATGTCCAGAAGTTCTTTTCAAACACGTCAAACTGTTGGTGTCAGAGCCGTCAGCAGTTCGTGGAGCAGCAGGATGTGAACTGTCAGACTGATTAAAGTTCAGTCTTATCACACGCAGCACCACTTCCTCTAATCAACTAATCAACTCATTAAACATAAAGAGATATGCTTGACCAAGTATAGAGTTCAGACACAAACCTCTTAATGTTAGTTTAAGATGCTAATGATAGTGTTGGCATGGATTTCACTCAGCTGTTAAAAAAGGTGGGGAACTGTCATGTTTGTATTTGTAGTTCCAGTATTTAAATGTAGGTTGTAAACCTGCTTTTCTCAGTGATGAACAAAGTTTTCTGAATCTAACTAAAAACATAATAAATAATAATAAAAATATCTGTAGATCAGATCATCAGCGAGGTTCCTGATCTTTGTAATGAGTCCTCGCGATGTGACTGTGATGAATGGCTTCACCTGTAGGGGGCGCTGTCTTGTGTTAAATGAGTGTGACTCACCAGCAGTCCAACTCGCAGGGATTCGCACTGTTTACTCGGCATCGACAGGTAACCGGAATAAATGCTCTGCTTGTTGGCATGGAAATGGAGGCGGGACTTGACACTGGTGATGTCAGCAGTCACAGTGAAGTGGACAGCTGTGAGAGGAAGACACAGTGTCATGTTAGCATGAGACAACACACACTGTAAATCTGTATATGACATGAAGGTAAAATCACAGGTTTCACAGAATAAATAACAACAACAACTGAAATCATTGCACTCTCTGATCACGAGCATTGAATCAGTGATTTGTTCAGTCACAGGATGATGATCCATAAAAACAGTAAAAACTGTTATTGTTTATAGGAAACAGACTCAGTGAAGTAATGTAACACAAAGTAACACAGACCTGACACAGTCTGATTGTTCAGTAAATGATCAAATAAACTCAGGAACACCATCTGAAAATTCACAAGAGTAGGATATTTATTCTTGCAGCAAGGGAACAAGTTACACACAAGAACTCGCAGTGCAAATGTTCAAAGAATGCAAGATTCACACAGAATTTATACACAGAATATGTGAGAGTGACCTCACATTGTTGCTGAAATGAGATAGACACAGTAGAGACTCGATTCATGCCTCATCATAGCTAATGTTTGGGTGTAGTGGCGAGGAGGAACAGCGAAGGTCACTGTGCTCCTCTCTGACAACTCCTGTCTTAAAAGTAAACGCAATAATGAAAAGTTCTATTCAGGATAATTTCCCTTTAAGAAGGTTACGTTTATCATAAAGTATCACAATTTTTCCAACACTGATCCACCATGAAGACCACAACTACACAAGAACCTTAAAGAGAAGAATATGGATCCACAGGATCCAGGACCCTGTCTGTTAACTGATGTGTTTACATGATGAGTTCAGGTACATTATATCTGACAGGTGATCAGGTGATCAGGTCGTTACATTCATTAATCTCAAGTTACAGGTGAAGACCAGCTCAGTGCTAAAACCACCAAACTAACCTGGTTAGCTTAGTTAAAACAGTTAGTTACTCAGTGTTAAATTATCATTGCTATTTAGTCTTTAATTATTAACCACCATGTTGTCATTGTCCTATGGAAACCAAGTATCTCCAAAACTATCAGTCCTGTAAACACGAATGTCCCTGACTGACTGACGGTTCTGCTGAGTGCTGCCTTTCAAGTCCTCTAACAAAGGAGAATGATCCAACATCACAGAGTTGCCACGGTAACAGCCCGTCCACATTCATCATGATAGATAAATAAATGCAAAAAAATCATCATCTTAATTATTATGAATTATTATCATCATATTATTATGTTTGTTCAGTCACTGTTCATTTACTTTATTATTTACTTCTGCTTTCATTAATCACATATGTGTGTGTGTGTGTGTGTGTGTGTGTGTGTGTGTGTGTGTGTGTGTTTGGAGGTTTTGGTGTCATAGCAACAGTGTGACCTCGTCTCTGATTGGTCAAATTAACAAGCCAGAACTAGGACACACAGATCTCTCAGAGGAAGTGTGTGTGTGTGTGTGTGTGTGTGTGTGTGTGTGTGTGTGTGTGTGTGTGTGTGTGTGTGTGTCTCAGATGTAATAATATCAGTTTCTGTAATGTGATTTATCATTCAGAGAAAAACACACAGAGGACAAGGACATGAGGACACACAAGGAAACATTATGATGTCATCTAATGTGTGTGTGTGTGTGTGTGTGTGTCTGTATGTCACTTTGTTGATTAACAGCATGGTTTAATTGACAGCTTTGCTCTATCAATCAATCAGGTTGGCCAATTAGCTGAGAGCGCTCGCTCGCTTGCACACGCACACGCACACACACACACATACACACACACGCACAGACACACACACACACACACACACACACACACAGGAAGCTGGTTGATGATAATTAATGACTCCTCACTATAAACAGACTCGTTAGCATCGTGTCCTCGTAAACACTCCATCTATCAGGTTAGCATGTTAGCATTAGCAGGGATGACTGTAAACTTGAAATGTGATGTAATGTCTTTGATCCTGGTTTTTCTGACATAGTGAAGTCAGGTTTGTGTCGACACTGTTGGACGTGTCTTGACTTTATGAACAGATGATTCCGTCTGTTGAACTGGAAACCTGCAGGTCCAGGAAACTGATTGTGATAACAGCTCTGATGATCTTATGATATGATGTATTTATACCAGTTATTATTCTCAAACTGTGGAGGTTACAATGATTGGAGGAGAGGGACTTTGGGAAAATCTAAACTCAGACTGGGGGGGTAGAACATACATTACATGTCATTTACATCATCTCCCTGCTTATCAGCTGAGCGAGACTCTGGGGAACTGGAGAGTCCAGCTGTTCACATCTGTGCTGAGGAAGGTGTTTGACCTCACTGCTGCTGGAAGGAGGTGGTGAAGGGTCTGCTCACTCTGCTGATGACTTCTGGACTGAGGATGTGTGGACCCAGCCTGTCTTGTATGACGCCTGTTATCCTGGTCTGGCTGATTGTACTAAATAAACTCATGGACTCATGTTGGACCACATCCTCTGCCTGCACAGTAAAGAGACCTGGTCTCTGACCCACCCCCAATTGGGCACCTCTTTCTGGAAGGAATGTTGCAGCCTCCTGGGCGCTTCAGTCAGTCTCTCCTCCGGGTTCCACCCCCAGACCGACAGCCAGACACGGCGGCTTGACCCGGAGCTGGAAGCAGAGCTATGCTGTCCTCCCAGAACTGTCCTCCAGGTCCCAGAGGACTCAAACAACTCACTCCTCTGTTCCTCCACCAGCCTGTCCCCATCTGTGCCTACAGTTACCGACCTCTTTCTGGACTTCAAATGCCACCACAAAAGTCGTGTAACTTAATTAACTGCTGCAGTAAATCCAAAGTCCACAGGCAACAAATAATATCCACAGACTGACCTCTTAGTCTAAAGAGTAACTTCCACAGGATGTAAACAGAAAACCTCACTGTGGGCTTCAATATAAATTCATTTAAATTAATTCTTTTAGAGCTGAAATGATTGATTGACAGACACCAGTTCACAGTATAGAGCTCGGACTGTTGTTGTTTACTCACTGATGTTGTCTCTGTCTCTCCTCTCTCCGGTACTAAAGATGTAGGAGAAACACACCTCCACCTGGATACTGATACACACACACACACACACACACACACACACACACACACACACACACACACACACACACACACACACACACAAATTCAAAATCATGTCTCCCCCAGTCGCTGATAAGTTAATACAGGGAGAATAAACTGTGTAAAACCTCAATCTAAATTAAAAGGTGGGTTTGGTCTTGACATGATTAGACATTAAAAAGGTTTCTCTTCATTACTGAATTTTGTTTCTCTACAATGTGAAAACTCTGACTCAGGTCAAAGACTGGACCAGATACCGTCCTCAAGACGACCTAAATGATGACATCTAACCCTACACACACACACACACACACACACACACACTGAGTCAGTCTGTTAGCATGTTAGCTTGTTAGCCTGTGAGCAAGTATCAGCTTTGAATCTCACCAGAAGTTGCAGCTGTTCGGGTCGACGACGTCTGGAGAAACTCTGAGGGTTTTATTCAGGTGGATGACTGGACGAGTTCTGAGGAAACAATTAATCAATCAATTAAAAGAATCAATAACTGATATGTAAACATGTGAGCAACATGTTTATTTACATGTTTACACACAGACTGTATAGTTGTTATTAGTTATTATAAACTTATTATAAACTTATAAACATGTTTTATGTTGTTTCACACTGTAGCTGATGTTTTCTATTTGAAATCTACACTAAAGAAAATATATACAGTACATGTGTATATAATATATATATATACTATAAATATAAATGTTACATATATTTTTTTTAAATGTGGAGCAGTAGAGGTATAACGGAACATGAACAGAACATCGTAAATGACCTGACTACCTGAGCAGAGCAACGCTGTCATCCAGAGAACCAACCACCAGGTCTGGATATCTGTTCCCATCAACATCCAGACCTCCGGACAGGGAGTACCCGAAAGTCCTGAACCCAGGAGAGACACTGCTGCCCCTGATCACCTGCACAGAGACAGGGGGTGTGGGATTCAGGTAAGGGTCAGGTTTATGTTAATGAGGGTTCTCTTAAGTACAGGAAGACAAACTTGTGTGAGACCTGGCTCGGTTCTGTAGAGACCCCCCCACTGCTCCCAGTCCAGATCATCACACTTCCTGTTTCATGGAAAGGAGCTCCGACTGCAAAGTCTGAGAAACAACAACAAGCTGATTAATGGTTACTGATTACTAACGTGACCATCATGTCATCATCAGCGAGGTGTGTCCTCACCCTGGAAGCCATCTTGGTTCAGGTCTCCAGCAGCAGTAACAGCCATACCAAACCCAGATCTGTCCGGCCCCCTCAGGACCACACTGGGTCTGGAATCAAACCTTCCTCCTGCATTCATGTAGACATAGACTGCCCCACCCGCCTCCTGCTGACGGTGGAAGTAAAAAGGAGCGCCCACCAGCAGGTCGTTCCAGCTGCAGGGCAGAACCAAGACGTTACCGACCCATGCTGCGACCTCAGACTCGTCAGGGTCTATCTATTCTTTATATATCAATATATATTATTATATATTTATTGATAGATGCTCTATATTCCTGTTAACACGAGTTCTTCACATGAAGCTAAAGATTTGATTCTGAATATGAATATAAAATGTTAAACTAAAATACTAATTTAAAAATTCAATCGTGGTTAAATTGTTTCCAAAAATTCAAAATCATGTCTCCCCCAGTCGCTGATAAGTTAATACAAGGAGAATAAACTGTGTAAAACCTCAATCTAAATTAAAAGGTGGGTTTGGTCTTGACATGATTAGACATTAAAAAGGTTTCTCTTCATTACTGAATTTTGTTTCTCTACAATGTGAAAACTCTGACTCAGGTCAAAGACTGGACCAGATACCGTCCTCAAGACGACCTAAATGATGACATCAGTGTGAATCATGTGACCTGTAACCTGTCACGTTACCCGTCGTTGTTGAGGTCGGTGGTTGCCACGGCGTTGCCGAAGTACGAGCCCGTCTGTTCACCACGTAAAGTCTGCTGAACTATCAGTTTATTATTGTGTTTCACTGCCAGCAGCACAGAGCCACGGGCGTCATCTTTACTGTCCTTAGGAGCTCCTGTCAATCAATACAACAATCAATACATCAATACATCAATATCTGTGTGTTCTGGCTGAAAAATCAATATAGGAGTGACAGTAAAGTCGTCCATCACCTGTTACTATGGTTTCATTAAGTTCAGAGAGAAGACGACGAGCCTGAGTGATGGAGTATCCTGAAAACACACACACACACACACACACACACACACACACACACACACACACACTGGTTGTGTTCAGATAGATGAGCACAGTCTGGTCTGTCTTGTCTTGACTCAGGACTGTTACACCAGAGACCAGGTCCACATCCAGAGACCAGGTCCACATCCAGAGACAGTCCACATTCAAGAGACCAGGTCCAACCCAAGAGACCAGGATCCACAATCCAGAGGACCACAGGTCACAATCCAGAGACCAGGTCCCACATCCAGAGCCCAGGTCCCCGGGCGGAGACCTGGTCTCTGGAAGAGACTTGTCTCTTTGGTTTATGTTAAATGTAAATAAACAGGTTGAACTGTTTATGTATGAAACCAGAACAGGATCTTTAACCTGAACCAGAATCTGTGAGGGTCTGAATAGAACCAGATCTCTACAGGTGGTTCAGAGACTCTGGTGGGAAACAAACACGTCTGTGACCTGATAAATATGTAAATTAAGCACATGATCACATACTGCAGATGTGTCAGCAGCTTGTTCTCATGGTTTTCCTGCTGCAGGGGAACTGCTCTCACGGGTCCATGAGAACAGTTTACAGCTGAACCACAACCACAGCCAGTTCACTGAAACAGGAAGTCTGAGCAGTGACTGTCAACTATTTACCTATGCTCAGACAGAAGAGCAGGTACACGACACACCTGCATGAGCTGAACCGACCTGCTGCTGCTGGTTTTCAGACCTCAACCCAAATCAAGACTGAGGCTGCACTTCAGTTAAACAACAGTTTGACAACAGACCACTGGATTACTTTGAGAGTGAAGAAAGTCTCTGTCTATGTTTTTTATGGAGATTTAAAGGGAGAATTCACCAATATAAATGTTCCTGCTCTGCATGTTGGTGAAGGAGTTCTTCTGAGTGTCAAAGACATCGTCTGGGTTCATCCAGGACACATGGACGTTTCCTACAACACAAACACACACACACACACACACACACACACACACACACAAACAAACAATAGATTAAAGTAAAAGTGGTGAGTCAGTTTCAGTCACCACAGCAGAACAGAACGGTACCTTGCCATTCGTAGCTTCCAGGTGATCCGACGATGACCTCAGTCTGAGTGATGGAAGCTGAAATCCCCATGTTACACATGACCTCTGCTCTGACATCACCCAGGTGACTAAACACACACACACACACACACACACACACACACGTTTACTGACCATGAATATCATGTGTCATGTGACCTGTGACCTTTGATCTGTGTCATGTGATCTACCTGCAGGGCTGCTCTGGGTTCTGCCAGTGTGAGTCGTTGTCATGGTACTGTAGGTCATTTCCACGGAGATAACATCGGCCAATCATCTGCCTGAGTTCTAATGGTCCATAGAGTTTAACAAACCGATGTCCACATGCCTGGAGACAGGGTGGACAGCTAGTTAGTTAGTTAGTTAGTGAGATCACTGTTGCATTTTGTCAGTTAGACAACAGGATAGTAGTTAGTACAAGTAGTTGGTAGTTATTGGTGTGACTTAGTTAATCATGTTCCAGATATTCAGCTGGTCAGCAGTCAGTTAGATTAGTTAGGTAGATAGTCAGTGAGTTAATTAGTTAGTTGGTCAGTCAGTTCATAAGTTGGTTAGTGACCAGTCAGTCATTAAAGTTCTGGACTCGCGTCTGACCCTTTAAACAGTTACAGACTAATCAGCCAATGAGAACACAGACTCACCAGGACCCGCCCTCCGGGTCGGCCCTGACTCGCTACTGAGACACCCAACCACATGTCTTCAATCAGGTCCTCAGCCAGGTTCACATCTGGAACAGTAACAGGACAGTTTCATGACTGGCAGTTGCTGTGGTTACCACTGATTACCGCCCACTCAGGAAGTCTTATCATGTCTGCGCTGTGATAAAAGCAGCAGCTGTCACTTCACACTGAGGGATGGAGCGCTCGTAATGCAGCAGGGCACTGATAACATCAGACCTGAGCTCTGAATGCCGCTCTCTGATTGGCTGACACAGACATTACAGACCAGCCAATCAGAGCCTCTCATTTAAATTACATTAAAGGAACCTGTGTTGTGTTCAGCTCTTCTTCATCAGATATAAACTTGACTCACTCGGGTCGACGAGCTTCATCCTGCTACAGTCTGATTGGTTCACGGTGATCGGGCAGCTGTACACGCCTCCTGTTCGATTGGCTGGAACATCAGGCTCCGCCTTCTCCCTGGGAGCTCCGACCAACAGCCTGTTAGACAGGTGAAACAGGTGAGACAGTTGGGACAGGACCTGTAGAGCAAGGCACTGCATCCTGGAACTCCTTCAAGGAGCTTTTAAATTTCTTCAAGGAGTCCTGGAATGGTATGAAATACTCCAGGGGCCTTGTAAAGCATCCTGCAACTCCTTCAATGATACCCTGAATATCTTGAACAACGCTGCAAGTCTCAAGCCTTGAAATGCCCCAAAGGCATTCCAAAGTATCCTGGAATTCCTTCAAGGACACCTGGAATGTCCTGGAGGACGCTGAGTCAGTCTGATGAACATAAATCTGAATTTTTTAAAGTATATTTTTTGAGCTTTTGTGCCTTTATTGGACAGGATAGGAGAGAGCGACAGGAAGGGGGGAGGCAGAGAGAGGGGGATGAAATGCAGCAAAGGGCCGTCTGATGCGGGACTCGAACCGAGGCCGACTGTGGCCTCTACACATGGGGCGCCTGCTCAACCCACTGCACCACACGACGCTCCATAAAGCTGAGTTTTGTTCCTTTGTTGCCATTACAGAGTCTCAAGGACACACACACACACACACACACACACACACACACACACACACACACACACACACACACACACGGACCAAGGACAGGAAACAGACAATGACAGACAGCTGAGGTCATCTGACTCAGATCACAGCCCCTCCCTCAGTGATTGGTCAGCTGTGTGCAGGTGAGAAAGTGGTCGGGGTCTGAACGTGTCACTTTTCAAGTGAACAGCTGAGGTCGACATTATAAACGTGTGTGTGTGTGTGTGTGTGTTTCATTTCCTGTTTCCTGATCTCAGATCACTCTTCCAGCTGAACACACAGCAGCTCAGTTGTGTTACCATGGCGATGAGATGACAGGTATCATGTGTCAAACGCCCGTACCCCTCTCTTCTTCAAGGTCCTTCCATGATCCGACGCCTCCTTGAAGAAATGTCTGGTGACATCACACACCAGGAGCTCTGTCTCTGCAGCCCCTCCCACCACTGAGACTGCAGAGCTCTCAGGTGGTTCTGGTCCTGGTCCTGGTTCTGGTTCTGGGTTCAGAGGGTCTGAAAATGGACATGTGGAGTCACAGCTGATGGAGAAGACTTGATCATGTGACCTGGAGTCATGTGACTTCACAGAGACCTCCAGGACATCATGAGGGTTTCCTCCACAAGGACCCAAAAACCACCTCTATCTTAGTTCTGGATCAGGTCTAGATGTTTGGTTTGACCAATCACTGAGGAGGAGGTGTCTGAGGGGCGGGACTCTCAACCAATCAGAGGAAACATCGACCTCCTGACCCCTGAACTCCCACAGGAAACGACATTATTACAGTGTGTGTGTGGTCCATTACCAGCCAATACAATTAGGGAACATAAAGAGATGGTTGTCATGGTGACCATGAAGACAGACAGCCAGGTGACCTCTGAGTGACCTCATCACTGCGGTTTCCTTCAGTTGATCCACAGACAGCGGCACACCTAATACTGGACTGATACTGGACCTGATACTGGACCTGATACTGGACTGATACTGGACTTTGTCCAGTGCCACCTTGTGGACTAACTTCATAACCCAGATTTCCTCCTTAAACAGCTTTACACGTCCCTCAAACCTCTTCTAGGTTTACAAGGACCAGACATCTTTCTGAAGAACTTCCTCAGTGACTCCTGGAAACACTTCAAGGACCTTTTCAAGGCCCCACCACCTCTGATGCTTCTCATACTTCAGGAGAAATACATTATTAACACTGCAGGGCACGCACCTGACTGAGTGTGTGTGTGTGTGTGTGTGTGTGAATTCCTCTTGTGTAACAGAGTTTAAAGTATTTTTCATTTACAGAACACGTGCAGTGTATTATTACACTACAACACACACACACACACACACACACACACACACACACACACACACACACACACACACACACACACACTTGTTAACAGTCCTGATCAAGAAAGACAGACCAGACTGGCCTTATCTATTCATGAACATAACCAGTGTGTGTGTGCTGTTCGGTGTGTGCTGTGTGATGTGTGTGTGTGTGTGTGTGTGTGTGTGTTGCTGTGTGTGTTGTAGTGTATAATTACACTGCACGTTGTTCTGTAAATGAAAATACCTTTAAAACTTCTGTTACACCCAGGGAATTCACACACATCAACAACACACACAGCACACACTTCAGTCAGGGTGCGGCCACATGCAGTGTTACACCTACATGTATTTCTCCTGAAGTTATGATGAAGCATCAGATGGTTGGGTGGGGCCTGGAAAGGTCCTTGAAGTGTTTCCAGGTTTCTGAGGGAAGTTCTTCTAGAAAATGGTCTGGTCCTTGTAATCTAGAAAGAGGTTTGAGGGATCGTTATGTAAAAGTGTTTAAGGAGGAATCTGGGTATTGAGGTTAGTCCACAAGGTGCATCTGGACACAAGCTCCAGTATCAGGTCCAGATAGCTCAGAGCTCCGCGTCCAGTATCAGTCCAGTATCATGTCCCAGACCAGTTCTCATAGACTGCAGTTCAGGTTATCAGGTCCTTAGGATATCCAGGTCCATATCAGTCCCAGTATCAGTCCAGTATCATTGTCCAGTATCAGTCAGTTCATCCAGTTCAGTTCCAGTATCAGTCCAGTATCAGTTCCAGTATCAGGTCCAGTATCAGGTCCTTCAGGTATCAGCGATTACGTCCAGTATCAGTTCCAGTATCAGCCCCCCAGTATCAGCGTCCAGTATTCAGGTCCAGTATAGGTCCAGTATCAGTCCTTAGTATCAGGTCCCAGTTATCAGGGGTCCAGTATCAGGTCCAGTATCCAGCCCCCATACAGTCAGTATTCAGGTCCAGTATGTGTGCCGCTGTTCTGTGGTCAATGAAAACCTCAGTGATGAGGTCACTCAGAGGTCACCTGGCTGTCTGTCTTCATGGTTCACCATGACCCCAATCTCTTTATGTTCCCTAATTGGATTGGCTGGTATGATTGACCACCACACACACTGTAATAATTCGGTTTCCTGTGGAGTTCATGGGGTTCAGGTTGAGGTCGATGGTTTCCTCTGCATTGTTGGGTCCCGCCCTCAGACACCTCCTCCTCAGTGATTGGTCAACCAAACATCTAGACCTGATCCAGAACTAAGATTAGAGGTGGGTTTTTGCGGTCCTTTTGTGGAGGAAACCCTCATGATGTCCTGGAGGTCTCTGTGAAGTCATCATGGACTCAGGTCACGATGATCAAGGTCTTCTCCATCAGCTGTGACTCCACCAATGTCCATTTTTCAGACCCTCTTGAACCTCAGAACCAGAACCAGACCAGGGACCAGAACCTACCTGAGAGCTCTCTGCAGTCTCATGGTGGGAGGGGCTGTCAAGAGACAGAGCTCTTGGCTGTGTGATGCCACCCAGACATTTTCTTCAATGAGGCGTCGGATCATGGAAGTACCTTGAAGAGAGAGGGTTACGGGCGTTTGACACATTGATACCTGTCATCTCATCGCCATTGGTAACACAAACTGAGCTGCTGGTGGTTCAGCTGATGTAGAGCTGATCTGGAAGATCAGAAACAGGAAGAAACACACCACACACACACTACACACACACAGTTGTATAATGTCGACCTCGCATGTTCACTTTGAAAAGTGACACGATTCAGACCCCGACCACTTCTCACCTGCACAAGCTGACCCATCACTGAGGGAGGGGCTGTGATCTGAGTCAGATACCTCAGCTGTTCATTGTCTGTTCCTGCCTTGGTCGTGTGTGGTGTGGGTGTGTGTGTGTGTGTGTGTGTGTGATTGTGTGTGTGTGTGTGTGTGATTGTGGTTGCTTGTGTGTGTGTGTGTGTGTGATCCTTGAGACTCTGTAATGTGCCAACGAAAGGAACAAAACTCAGCTTTATGGAGCGTCGTGTTGGTTGCGTGGTTGTAGCAGGCGTCCCCATGCTGTAGAGGCCACAGTCTGGTCGCAGTCCCGCAATCAGACGGACCCTTTTCTGCATAGTCATCCCCCCCGCCCCCTCTCACACTGTTCCTAATAAAGGCACAAAAGCCCCATATAAATATATCTTATAAAATCATTGATTTATGTATTCAGACTTGAACTCAGCGTCCTCCAGGACATCTCAGGTGTCCTTGAAGGAATTCCAGGAATACTTGGAATGCGGCTTTGGGGCATTTCAAGGTTTGAGAGCTGCTCCAGATATTCAGGTATTCATGAAGGAGTTGCATGGTATGCTTTACAAGGCCCCTGGGTATTTCATACCATTCCCTAGGGAACTCTGAAGAAATTTAAAAGCTCCTTGAAGGAGTTCCAGGATGCAGTGCCTTTCTCCAAGCCATAGCCTTTCTTTTGTCCTTGTGTTCAGTGACTGGACATGCAAAAGTGTAATGTACTGGCGCTCCACACGTGAAAGGCGGCAAGCTGATTCTTTTCCAGTGATCTAATATGCGAGAGGAGGCGCTGAATTAGATTACAGATGCACATTATAGTTGAAATACTGTACGAGTTACTTACGTGTAGTGATATTGAATGGATTCGTTATTAATGTTGCATTATTGGTTTGAATATTGTGTTAAGCTGTTTTGAGAGATGCAGTTACAGGACTCAATCTGCTCCGTCTGCAACCTCACCGCTGATAAACTCAGATCTACGTG